AATGCGGTTTCTATCATGCACCATCTAGCAGCACGATGTGGATATGACGGTCATTAGGAGAAGGATATGGAAAAGGGGCCCTGAATGAAATTTGGGTGGTTGAGACAAAAATTGGGAGTGACAGCTCACCGATAGATTGTATTTTGTTTTTATTTTTTGGCGCGTGAGGGTCTGTCTTCGCGATGGAATACCTCACGGCATTTCGCGTCTTTCTCGGTCTCAATGCGGTTTCTATCATGCACCATCTAGCGGCACGACGTGGATATGACAGCCATTAGGAGAAGGATATGGAAAAGGGGGCCTGAATGAAATTTGCGTGGTTGAGACAAAAACTGGGAGTGACAGCTCACCGATAGATTGTATTTTGTTTTTATTTTTTGGCACGTGAGGGCCTGTCTTCACGATGGAATATCTCACGACATTTCGCGTCTTTCTCGGTCTCAATGCGATCTCTATCATGCACCATCTAGCAGCACGACGTGGATATGACGGTCATTAGGAGAAGGATATTGGAAAAGGGACCCTGAATGAAATTTGCGTGGTCGACACAAAAACTGGGAGTGACAGGTCACCGATAGATTGTATTTTGTTTTCATTTCTTGGCACGTGAGGGCCTGTCTTCACGATGGAATATCTCACGGCATTTCGCGTCTTTCTCAGTCTGAATGCGATCTCTATCATGCACCATCTAGCAGCACGCCGTGGATATGACGGTCATTAGGAGAAGGATATTGGAAAAGGGGCCCTGAATGAAATTTGCGTGGTTGAGACAAAGCTGGGAGTGACAGCTCACCGATAGATTGTATTTTGTTTTTATTTTTTGGCGCGTGAGGGCCTGTCTTCACGATGGAATATCTCACGGCATTTCGCGTCTTTCTCGGTCTCAATGCGGTCTCTATCATGCACCATCTAGCAGCATGACGTGGATATGACAGTGATTAGGAGAAGGATATTGGAAAAGGGAACTTTGTTGATCTACATGAGAATGGGATAGAGCAAATTAGATCCTGAATGAAATTTGCGTGGTTGAGACAAAAACTGGGATTGACAGGTGACAGGTCAGTGATAGATTGTATTTTGTTTTCATTTCTTGGCGCGTGAGGGCCTATCTTCACGATGGAATATCTCACGGCATTTGGCGTCTTTCTTGATCTTGCCGCTAGATGTCTCATGATCGCGACCGTATCACGCGGCACGACATCCTGCGGCACTACCGGGAAAGACGCCAAATGCCGTGAGATATTCCATCGTGAAGACAGGCCCTCACGCGTCAAGAAATAAAAAAACCCAGTATAAAGGCTGTTCCACAACAGCCCGCTTTACGTTCCGTAAAGAGATTTTAATGACGGACCTCTCAGCCAGGTGTTCACGAATAGAAGGGAAGGATGGTCAACATTTATCTTGGCTCGGGAACGGGAATCGTCTCCACACATAAAAGTGCAGCGAAAGGCGACGAAGATGATCAAGTGCGTGACATTGTTTTGGAGCGGGGTTGTTTGAGTTTGCGAAGTTACGGTTCGAACCAGCTTTTGTTAGTTTAGTTTTTACTGATTATAGTTTTATTATTTTCCCTCCAAATGTAATTTTTATATATTTCGTTAAAGTACATCCGCGTTGTTTGTTTTTGGTTAAAATTTTATTTTGTTGAATTTTACGTAAGTTCTTTTTTAGATTTGAGTTCTTTCATTCTTGCTATTTTTGCCCTAACGTTAACGAAACATGAGCGATGCAAAACGTACGGTATTCACGTCCGTCGATTTGACCGATATTGGTTGGCTGGCCACACGGGTACGATCAATGCGGTCACGAGAGCAACGGACGTCATTTGCCCTATGGCCTAGTGATAGCAAACACTGATGCCGCGGATTTTAGCGATTGTGTCTTTCATTGGAATTAAACTTATAAAATGTAATATGAGAAAATTGTAGTTTCATGCTATTAATAGCGAGCGCCTTGGAGGGGAACTTTCTACACCCTTTCAGATTTCACGCAAATACGGTGAAATATTTTTTTGATTATTTCCGAATGTCTGACCCGTGGTTCAGAGAATTGTTTTCCAAATTGCATGATCTTATTAAATGGAAGTATACCAATGTGAGGTTTGCTATAGACCCGAAGAAATGCTTGCAAGTGCACTTCGTTAATTAATCTTTCAATGTCGAATCTATTCATATAACGAATGGAGAAACGTATGCTGTTCGTTGAACGTACGTATGGTGTACATCGCAAGAACCGCATATGTTCTGCACTCTATGCATGCCTAATAAGCTACAATTTCGTCAGGAACAACATAAGCGTTCTAGCGGCTAACGTCCGACATCCGTTGGCCGATACGCAACGTACGTTACGGTTGCGCGATAATGGGCCATGTCCCTAATGCGTCTCTGCTGTTCAACAACGGGCGCACTTTAACGTCCGTCATTTGACGCTCGTGTGTCTCTAGCCTTAGACGGAGACACATCTGTGCCTGCGGAGGCCGTCTGCGAATAAACAGTACAACTCTACTTGCGCAGTCATCGCAAGGCACATTAACAAACTTATCTCTGTTTTTTGCCAATATCGGCGCGCACATTTACGTAAAACATGAGATTGGTGGTCATTCGATTAAATTACCGGTAAAAAGGCAGCGCAACATGCTGGAAAGTAGAAGTGTACACTTTAACTGTGGATGCTTTTCGTATGTAGCCCTACTGAAGTGTTAGAATCGTCTTAATCTTCTTAGATATATGTGAAATGCGCTCTGAAACTGATGGTGATTCGAAATTAATTGTAATGCTAAACTATGGCTAAGCTAAAGTGTCGTGGTTAATAGGTAGCAACGCGTGAGTGCCAGAGAGTGAGTGATTTTGAGAGGGCCAACTACTATCGTTCTTAGAGCAGTGAGTGCAGTGAATGTGTCTGTCGTGCGCTGGAATTTAATTATTGCGGCGTCTTTCATTGTCAGGAAATCAATCTCAATAAAAACTGATAATTCAAAATTCATTTTCAAAATATTTGTCGTAACATAAGTCTTAGCGATGTGTTAGTCTTTATCACACAATGTTATAAAGATACAATAGGCCTTTATTTGCCATAACTGTGATGGATTGTGCTCCTTGTTTGGAGGTGGTGCCGTTCTCCGTGACGCTGGTGCTGGAGGCGGAGGCGGCGTCGGGGGCGGAGCCGCTAGTGGAGGCG